AAGCAAGAAAGAGATACATTTATTAAGGCTATAAAAGTAGGTAGTTGATAACAGTGAAGATAAACACACTTATCTCAACTGGGAGGACCAGGAAAGGGATGCTGAAACCTGGCACAGTCCTCTGTTTGTCTGAGCCTATCATATGTATTGTGTGTTGGATGCTCTTCTGTGTCTGTCAGCCTCAGGTTTTTTATATCTATGTGGTCACATGCTATGGGCTTTTTCATGCTTGGGAACAGACATAGATGACAGTTTTCTCCTTCCCTGACACCACAATAGACCCTTTTCAACACAAACTGGGAAGAAGGTTAACAAATGTGTATAACTGGATTAGCAAATATTTCAAGAAGTTCAACAGGGCAGCAGCGGAGGCCTTACAGGTATCTTTGAGACACTGAGACTCTAGGCCTTGGTGTCTTATAGCTATATACTCAGACCTAAAAGGCACTTTTTTAAAAGTTGGCTTAGACATTCAATTATTTAGTATCCCAGGAAGGAGCTGGAAATAAGTCCTCATTGTCTGTAGCACAGGTATGGTACAGGCAGAGGCAGTGCTAGCTTTCTCCTTCTGCCTCTTTAAGGCACATAACATATGACATGAAGGGACAACCTCAAAGAGTAAAAGAAAGATAAAGGGGAGGCTTCCTGACCATTTGTTTGACGTTTTATTCATTAATGCCAACAGAGATACTAAATGAGAGGGTGAGCATGGGTCCACTAAGACTAACAGGTCATTTCCATTGAACGTGAACTTTGTTATTGTTTGTTAACAGTCCCTAGAGTCATCCAGCCCCATAAAAAAGAAATAAAGTATGAATGTATATGATATGTTCTTAATGCATATATTACATATAAAATACAAAATGTGATTGACAGAAAATACTGCATGTGTATATAAGACAAAGAAATTCCTGAGAAATTATATGAAACAAAAAACCCCCAAGTTGTATCCCGTGAAAAATACTATAGCAAAAGTGGGAGATATATCAAGAGAACTAAGACAGATGAAACTTGGGTCCCAGCTATGGAACAACTGAGGTACATCCAGTACTGGAATGCACTGAATAAATCTTTCAGCCAGTAGATGTCACTGGAGGGACCTTGCTGTTTTGAAAGGGAAACTAACTCATGCAGTTTACAGCTAATCCTTCATTACAAAAAAAGAGGAAGAATGGCTTTCTTGAATACCAGATGATATTGTTGCTAGACAAATTGAGATAAATTATTGATACTGCGTATGGGAGTGAGCACCAAGCACCTTTTTTATATTTATTGAAAAAAACATTCACTCAAGCCTCTCTCAGGAATTACAGGCTTCCTTTGGAATGATTGTATTCAGTTTTGAAGCTTGAAATGCTCCGACCTGAGAACACCTTGGCCCTCTGAACTCTGTAAGCCCTGTCTTGTAAAACATTCCTTGCCTTACTGATGTGTTGACCAACTGTTTGGTAATTTGGTATCCTGGTTACATTTACACTCTAATTCCTAAAAAGGATCAATTCCTAAACACTTTCTCTGCGGTATCAACAGCAGAGGAAGGACTGCTATAAAGGGAGTTAACCTACTTTAAACTCGGGTCAGTTGGATCAGTCATGGGAATCTTCTTCCTTGAAAGGATCCCTTTTTACCTTGCATACTACATATTTACATTTCACTTAGAAACATACTTATGACAATACCAGATTAGACTACATTGTCTACCATCCTGTCCTCAATAGTGGCCAACATAGAATACTTCAGAGAACCCCTGCTTTGGACAATCCTGAAATAAACAGCCTATAAAAGAAATCTTTTTCTAAATCCATGGGTTAATAATGAGCTTATGACCTGAAGCATGAGGGATAGAATACCTTACATATCGTATTTACCCAAATCCAAGATTAGTTTGAATTCAAGATGAACCCCCCCTCCAATAATTAGATTCTATGCACAGAATCTAATTATTGGGGGGTCTCCTTAAATTCATAACCCCCACCGCTGCAGCAAGGAAAGCAGCAGGAGGAGGTAGCAGGGAAAGCAGTGGCCAAGGGTAGATAGCCTAGTCACCACCTGCCCCCTCCCCCCCCAATACCATGTATCCACAGTGATTACATCCCCTAGGGCCTACTCCCTGCCACCTGTTCCCTCTGCCACTTGCCTCCCCCTGGTGGTGGCCCCCTGATGCCTGTCCTTATTGCCACTTGTTCTGCCATGGCCTGCCCCCTCACCACTTGTCCTGCCCCCTTACCCTTCCTTCCAGTCACCACTTACTCTATATGGTGGCTCTGGCTCCAGCTCTGGCCCAGTGCCTGAACTACATGGTTGCTCCACCCACATCCAACAGCAGGGCAGCATCTCCAGCCCCAGCCATGATCAGGGATTCAGAAGCCCCCTACTGTTACACCAGTGGTTTTCAGTCTGTGGTCTGCAGACCATGTTTAAGGGGTCTGCAAAAGATGACTATGATCAATCAAAATATGTGAATACCCACACTTACAAGCTCTTCAAAGGGGTCTACACCTCCATTTGAAATTTCCAAAGGGGTTGACACCTCCATTCAAAATTTGTAGGGGTCCATAAATCAAAAAAGGTTGAAAACCAATGTGCTTCGTGATCTTCCCCACTTTCCACTCACATTGTACAATGTCTGCCACTCTCCCCTCCCCAACACCATGCATTCTCCCCTACACCATGAGATCTTCCCTGCACTCCCTCCACCCCGCACCACATGATCTCCCATGCTACCCTCCCCTGCATCGCACAGTCTCCCCTACATCTCTCCCCACCTCCCACCACTTGGTTTCCTCATGTTTCCCTCCCTGACAACACACAGTTTTCCCCATGCTTGTTCCCTTGCTGCACTGCACGATCTCTCTGGGTCAGAGCCAGAACCACAGCAGCCCCCTAGCCCAGGCTATACTGAAAATGAAGATGAGGTTTCTTTTTCCCCATGTTGAATGAGGAGAGAACAAAAATCATCTGGGATTCAAGTACATAAATACAGTATAAAAATAATTATATCTAATGCAGATGTGAAGATCTCATTAACCATATAAATGTGAAATGCTTTTCATAATCTATACACCTTTTTGTCTTAAAAATATCTTGCGAGCTCCACAGGCTATTTATGTTGTGCAAAAAGAATTCTCATTTATCTATTTTAAATATCTTTAATATTATTGAGTGCCA